CTCCAGTGACTCTTCTGGAGAACGACAATGGGTTTTCCCTTGTCCTCACATCCCACCCTCTCAGTCCAGCAAACAGAGGCTCATCCTCCGCCATTTCCACCAGCTCCAATGGGCTGCCACTACCAAACATGTCTCCACCCCTCCCAACCACCCCCCCACCCCACACTGCCAGCATTCCACACAGATTGTTCCCTCTGAAAAAATAAGAACAAAATAAGTAAAAGGAGTTTGGTCTTCTTTGTGTCTTATTAACGTTACTGTCAGCAGAGTGGAGCCGTTTACTCCTTTCCCCACCTATCATTGATGCCTGTTTTACACCACTATCGCCCCTTTCCCAACAGTATTGCTCCTGCTGTCTTTTCCTCTGGGCACTCTAACATCTGTTCCACTTGTTCCTCCCCACCTCCTCCCTCAGTTAACAGTATAAAAGCCATTACTTTCCTGTGGTTTTAGCTCTTAAGATGAATCATACTGGATTCAAAACATTAGTTCCGTTTCACTCTGTGTGTCTAACTTCTCTGTAGGTTTGAATTACTTGTGATTTCAACATTAAACCTGAAATTGTACATAGCTTTTTCCTTGAGCTATTATACACCTGAGCTTCAATGTAATCAGCTTTAAGAAACCTCTTCAGGGTTCTATTCCAATTCGTCTGATCTGGGGCTAATGCTAACTGCTCATTCTAAGGTTCATTGCATGCCCTCCCCTTCTCAGGACTGCTGGTCTGTACAGCCATCCTATTTCATCAACTTCACAGGGCTGCCCCACACAAAGCAAAAACTAAAAAAAATACAAATCTCCCCCTCTAAACTATGGACATTTCCCTTAAGCTAAAATCAAGTTCCAAAAATCTTGAACAAAACTTGGAGACCTATTAGTTTGCTGGGTCATAAAACTCTAAAATGTATTCAAGAGGTGACTAGGTACAGCACTTGGGGTGAATGGGATAAAAGGTTATGGGGAGAAAGCAGGAGAAGACTATTGAGTTGGACGATCAACCATGATCGTGAAGAATGGCGGAGCAGGCTCGAAGGGCCGAATGGCCTCCTCCTGCTCCTATCTTCTATGTTTCTGTATAAAATAAACAAAAGTCCATTAGTGGTGCACACATTAACTCTAAGGCCAGGTCATAAAAACCATGATAAACAAAACCACCACGGTTACAGAATACTTACAACTTAATTATTAATTTCAAACACACAAAAAAGCAACCACATATCACTCCACACCCAGATATCACGGTTTAATTCTCCTTGACCCTGTGCAGTCCTCCCAAAGCCTGAGTGGTAGCAGTTCAGTGGGAACATTGTCAGAAACTTAAACTTGCACGAAATGATACTAAAATATATTCATACAAATTGCACAGGCTACTTCACATTACCTTTTGCACTGATGTGCTGGGCTCTTCCATCATTGAGGATGGGGATATTTGTGGAGCCTCCTCCTCCAGTGAGTTGTTTAATTATCCACCACCATTCACAACTGGATGTGGCAGGACTGCAGAGCTTAGATCTGATCCATTGGTTGTGGGATTGCATAGCTCTGTCTATCACTTGCTGCTTTCACTGTTTGGCGTGCAAGTCGTCCTGTTTGGTGGCTTCACCAGGTTGACACCTCATCCTCAGGTATGCCCAGTGCTGCTCCTGGCATGGCCTCCTGCACTCTCCATTGAACCAGTGTCGATCCCCTGGCTTGATGGTAAAGGTTAAGTGGGGAATATGCCGGGCCATGAGGTTACAGATTGTGCTGGAGTACAATTCTGTGACAGTTCATCTTCACAAGGACTGTGTGGTGTTCACTCTTACCGATACTGTCATGGAAGGATGAATTATAGATTCCCTACAATGTGGAAAGACAACATCCAGCCCATTGAGTCTGCACTGACCCTATGAAGAACATCCCACCCAGACCCACACCCCCCTACCTTATCCTATCCTTATAACCTCAAATACAGCACAGCCAATCCACCCTAACCTGCACATCTTTGGACTGTGGGAGGAAACGCACGCAGACACGGGGAGAATGTGCAAACTCTACACAGACAGTCGCCTGAGGGTGGAATCGAACCCAGGTCCCTGGCGCTGTGAGGCAGCAGCGCTAACCGCTGTGAGGCAGCAGCGCTAACCGCTGTGAGGCAGCAGCGCTAACCACCGAGCCACCGTGCCAGGTCAAGTACATTGTCTCTTGTTTTTGAACTGAAGTCTGTTGGACAGAACTGTACCCAATCCTGCAGTTGGGGCTCAATCAGCATTTTGTAAATGATGTTGCCGAGCCAGTTGGAATTTTTCAACAGTTCAATTGTTTTGTGGCTGCCACACTCAATTAATGCAGATTTATTTTATCCAATCCACAAACCAGGTCGATAGACTTTGCCCCAGTACAGAGTGAACCAAACATCAGGATTCAGAGTATTGCTGCATCTGATCTATCTGTGAGACCACTCCCTGCCCAGTACAGTGCCAGGCTTGATGCAGTTTACAGAACATGCCAAGTCACCACACAAAGGCTGATTGTCTTCCTGCAGCACCATACACATGTGACCTGGCCAGTTTCCACTTTCTTCCAGTCCACAGCCTGATGTTTGAACATCTGCCCAAAACCCTGCAGTTTAATACAGGTCACCAGCACACACACAGCTTAAAGCCCAAAACAGACCCATTTACTCAGAATAACCCACAGTACATCATGCAATGGAGCACAGCCCTTTGTACAGTACCACCCATCAAACACTTCTAGGACAGGGACAGCGCGGGGTTAGATACAGAGTAAAGCTCCCTCTACACTGTCCCCCATCAAACACTCCCAGGACAGGGACAACCGGGGGTTAGATACAGAGTAAAGCTCCCTCTACACTGTCCCCATCAAACACTCCCAGGACAGGGACAGCACGGGGTTAGATACAGAGTAAAGCTCCCTCTACACTGTCCCCATCAAACACTCCCAGGACAGGGACCGCGTAGGGTTAGATACAGAGTAAAGCTCCCTCTACACTGTTCCCATTAAACACTCCCAGGACAGGGACAGCACGGGGTTAGATACAGGGTAAAACTCCCTCTACACTCTCCCCCCACCAAAGATTGGAATGGAATGAGTTTCTGGAAATGTTAGGTTAAACTGACCACAAGTTGTCTCTGTGTAATGAGAGAGCAGCCTGATGGCACTCTGGGATAGGTAACATTACCTTGACCTGGGGCCTGCGATATGGTTTCTGAAAAGTGTTTGAAGGAAATTGGGCTGGAGTATAGTCTGGAGGGAGGGAGTGGTTTCCATTCACATTACTGACATTACATGATGGGCTGAATGGCCTTTTTTGTGTTATCTCATTGTGTGATGGCTGCAGGAACACTGTCAGGTGGAACGGGATTGGGTGAAGTGTCATGTTTTATACCTTCCCTTGTCAGTGAGCATGCGATCTCTATCTCATTACTCCCTGTCAAACACAATCCAATCTCAATGGGTACAATTCCCAATTGGTGTGCTGGAT